CAAGTCCTCCCTCACCTTTCCCGATAAATCATGAGTTTTCATGCCTTATCACCAGCTGCGGAAGCACAACTTGTCCATTTGGAAGATGCTAGAGAAGATAAGAGATTTTAGAGTCTCTGACTTAGTTGCAGCCCTTTCACCAAAAGGGGGGAGAAAAGTACCCTCAACTACCCCCAGCCCTATATTTATTTGGATAAAGACAAGACAATTTGAAAACGAAACACTAGAGGGAACTAAATATTTTAGTTAATGGAAATAATATATACCAGCCTGATTTACAGTGAATGAACTGGGACATATAAACATCAATAGTGATGTTTGTTTCAATGGATAGACTGTGTCCAAAAGATATCATGGAAGAAATGGCAGTTTTATTTGACAATATCGAGATGGCACCGAAAGTGGATCTACAAATGACAGCTACAAGAAGGACAAGAAAATGGATGTCATTATGGTTCACATTTTAAAAGCAAAGGAAAATACAAAAACAGGTAACCCTCAATGTCAAACCATTCGTTTAACCATCACTTGAAGTTACAAGGGCGCTGAAAATAATGACTTACAATTGGTCAACCCACTTAAAACTGTCGCAGCATCCGCACAACTCCGTGTTCAAAATCTGAAGGCCTAGCAACAGGCATGTTTTTTTCTTCCCAGCATCATGTAATTGCCCTTTCCAACAAGGAAGCCAATGGGGGAAGTTGGATTTAAGTAAACTACTGCATGATTTGCTTAACAACTGCAAGAATTCACTTAACAACAGTGGCATAAAATTTTTGTAAAATTAAGTGAGACTCACCTAACCATCATGTTGCTTAGCAGTCGAAATTCTGCTTCCAATGGTGGTCACAAGTCAAGGACTACCTGTAATAAACTAAGAGAGTAAAGGTAAAGGTTCCCCTCGCACATGCGTGCTAGTCATTTCTGGCTCTAGGGGGCGGTGCTCATGTCCGTTACAAAACTGAAAAGCCAGCACTGTCCGAAGACGTCTCCGTGGTCGGCAGGACTCAACACCTGAAGGCCACGAAATGCTGTTATCTTCCCACCAAAGTGGTCCCTATTTTTCTACTTGCATTTTTTACATGCTTTCAAACTGCTAGGTTGGCAGAACCTGGGGCAAGTAACGGGAGCTCACTCCGTTAAGTGGCGCTAGGGATTTGAACCGCCAAACTGCCAACCTTTCTGATCGACAAGCTCAGCACCTTAGCCACTGAGCCACCATGTCCCTTTCTTTGCATTGGATTTACAAAAGAGGTATGTTGAACCTCTGAAGAATCATGCGAGAAGGGACAAAGAAGAAACAAAATCAAAGTCTACGTTATTTGAATGGATTAAAGATTAAGACTGATGGAAGTAAAAGGCAATATAGTAGATTTATTTGATCAATTTTTTAAAAAAATTCTGAAAACTTTTCATGGATTTTCTGATGACACTACAACTGAAAAGATGCTTTAATGGATTTGTTTATAAAGAGATGGGATACAGGATGAACAGTTCATTGGTGGTAAACTAAGAGGATGAAGAGTTATAAAAAATTGTCTATACTTGTGATGGAGGTTGGAAGTCAATTCATTATGCGTTTGTTTTTACTATCTTTTCTTTTTTTGTTTATCTCCTTTGCAGCTTTCACTTTCTATTTTTAGTTTGCATTATATTTTATTGTAATTAAAATCCTATACACACACAGACACACACACACACAGAGTGCCCCCTTTTTATATAAGGATGTTCTTGACACTTGAATACATTTTTTCGCTATGATTAAAAGGTACTGTATATTAGCAGAGAACAAACCAAAGAGTGTTTGTCGATCTTTTCAAGTCCTTGTGATCACCAATGTTGGGTTGAATATTCCCAGAATTCCCAATTCTATCCCACTGAATTCAGGGACTTCAGTCTCAACATAACTGACGACTGGATTCAGTTCATTGAAAAATGAAGCCAAACTCAACCCTCTTCTCTGAGAAAAGCAACAATTATATGGCTTAATGTTAAGGATCAAGAACCCGTGAAAAGACCAGATTGTTATTCGATTGAAATATGGTGTTGTTTAAAAGGTACTCATTAAAAAATAATATTCAACTCTAACCTTAACCCTGTTAACATCCGCAGCTTCTAACATTTCATTAAGATGGTTTAGCTTCCTTTTTCCAATCCAGTTCTCAAGGACACACTTTAGTTGGAGATGGGGCACAGGTTTTTCTGCACGAAAAATGGGCTTTTTCACTCAGTTATGACACCAAAAGCATGGTGACCTAGCTATATGAGGCAATGTATTTTGGAGCAGGAGACAACGGTCCTTTTCCAGTCAGTTGCTGGGGTCATTCGCCAAAACCTTCACAACCTATTTTAGGTTGGCTCAACAGATTTCTATCTCTGCCCTGCAGCGGGGCTAGAAAACTGTGTATGTTAAAAAAAAAAAAAAAAGGTTTTGAAATCCAACCAGAGGACATAAAAAACTACATTTCGTGGTTCCCTAAATTCCAGAATTCTTTTTAATGATCACGCCAAAAAGAGATTTCAGGCAGTCACACTGAAAAATATTAAGACTAAGATTAATCCTTAATCCAGAGTTGCTTGGTAGAGGGATGGGTAGCATATAAATCTTAATAAAAATCCTCTATTACCTATTTGAAAACTTTCATTCACAAATAATTCATTTCAGTTCAGCAGGTATACGTATTCCCAAAGCTGCAAGAAATTCATTGGGGAATCAATAGATTTAAGGGGAGGAGTCTGGGATGAGAGAACCCTGGAAAGTGACTTCAGCTTTTAAATATCTACTTTATTGAGAAATATACAAGTGCAGTATTGGGAGACACAAAGAGGCAAGAGCTATAGGGCAGCGGATGCTCCCTTCGTCTAAAATCCTGCAACGAAACTCTTTTTCTAGGAACCTCTCAGACAACATGCAGCTGATCTTTTTTCCTAAAAGAAAGTAGAAACTGTTTTCCTTTCCTGGGCCCAGTTTCATAATCAAACATTTCATTTGGTAGACTTGGACAAAGTACATCAAGGCAGAATTGGATAATAAAGCTGAATAAGCATATCAGGAGATTTTAATGCTAGCAGAGAAGGGTAAATTATTAACAGCATGAAGAACTACAGTTCTAGATACCAATATCAGGGAAACTAGATAAGTATGTTCTAATCCAGAAAAGGTTATGTATTCAGGGCTGCTCTTCTGCCTTGGCCATATTTGTGTGTTCAGTGCAACAGGTCATCACATTTAGAACAGAATCTCAATGACTGACCCAGCAAATAGCAGTTGAATTGACTGTAATCTATAGTCTCCATTTACATAAGAGCTTTTTTTTTTTTTTTTTTTGCAAGAAAAGAATTTTATGCAACAGCAAAACCATTATACGAAAATAGATTTGACTCTGCAAATTATAGGCCTATTACTTTATCTAGCACAATAAATAAACTTTATGGCAGATTTTATACCTTACATTAGCGGGTTGGGCACCAAATGGAATATTTTCATTGCCGAAGAACAGGTGCGGTTTAGAAAGCAAAAAATCAATATTAGATCATTATTGGGTTCTTCGCCACTTGGTGGAAAAATTTTCCGTGCCTCCTTATGGCTCCCTTTTAGCAACCTTTGCTGCTTTTTAAGCCAGCTTTTGACCTAATACCAAGTGAGGGATTGGGGGAAAGTCTTGAGACATTTCCCTATTGACCAAAGGCTACCTGTGCTTATTCAGCGTGAGAGGTAACTCGACAGATTGCATCCCTTAAAGTCAGAGGTCTCCAAACTTGGCAACTTTAAGACTTGTGGACTTCAATTCCCAGAATTTCTCAGCCAGCATAGCTTCAGAGCAGAAGTTGGCATTATATGAGCTTTTTGTTCCACTCCTAATTTAAGATAAAGGTAATGGTTCCCCTTGCACTTACGTGTTCGTCGTTTCCGGCTCTAGGAGGCGATGCTCATCTCCGTTACATAAGCCGAAGAGCCAGCGCTGTCCGAAGACGTCTCGGTGGTCATGTGGCCGGCAGGACTAAACGCTGAAGGCGCACGAAACGGTGTTACCTTCCCACCAAAGGGGTCCCTATTTTTCTACTTGCACTTTTTACGTGCTTTCGAACTGCTCGGTTGGCAGAAGCTGGGACAAGTAACAGGAGCTCACTCCGTTACACGGCGTTAGGGATTCGAACCTATTTAACCTATTTAATTTAAGACATGACCAAGCAAAACAATTGCTGAAAGAGATTAAGGTAGTGGTTCTTAACCAATGGTCCACAGACCCCTGGGGAGACATGATGTCATCACAGAGGCTCCGCAAAGGCTTGAAAAAATGTTATAATTTAAATCTTGAGGGTCCCTGGCCACAAAAGCAATTTAAAAGGGGGGCCCATGGTGAAGAAAAGGCATAAGGGATATGGCATTTCAGACAGAAGTCAACAGGCTATTCCAACCTGGGAATAAAAAAGAGCACTTGGGAACCATCAAGAAATCTACAAAATCTGACTTTCCCCAAACTGTGGATGGCATTTTTCAAAGCCAGGCATAACATCTGACCATCAGCACTGCTGCAAGACAGATATTCCAAAATCCCATTAACTGAGCATGTGGCCACAAAGAGATCAAAATCATTTTGCATATATTCATATATTGTAAACTCTAAGGGACATCACGTCTGCATATATTCTGCCCTTAATAAGTAAATTTATGCTTTAAGTCCCTCAGTCACTTTGAAACAAGATAAGTGTCAAATAAATTTAATAAAATAGAACAAAAATTTCCAGGGAGACCAGACACTTTCTGTATGAACCATGTTCTACAAATTGAAAACCCGTTGTCACCTATGCAATAGCCAAATTCTGTGTTGTTGCAATGAAAATAAGGCATAACTGGTTTATGGAAATATTTTTGTTTTATTTACCATTTTAGATTTAACACATACTGGCTTATTTATAGATGGTATTTATTTTACTGCCCTGCGATAGAGGTACACTTGTACAAGTAATTAATGTACTGTTAGAGCAGTCACATTTGCATCTGTGTTTGGTTCACCTTTTCCATTTTACTATGGTGTTGTAATTTTTTAAAAACTTTTTTCTGGTCACTGACCAAATAAACATTATTATAAAACAGAGTCTCCAGTTGAAGGGGCGGAGGGAGAGTGATCTGAAACTGGGAAGTGCTGGAACAGGACAATTCTTTCTCAGTTCCTGCTCTCTCTTTGAAGGCAGCCCACTGCAGAAGCTACAGGAAGAAGAGGGTCTCGCACAGCTCATTTGATGGTTCGTGGTGGAGAATGTGCCCTGAATGAAAAGCCACCTTATGCGCGTATTTGCACGGGGCAGGCACCCGGATAGTTCCTGGCCAGTTCCAGTAGAGGTGGCAAAGTTTGAAAGTCAGCCTATTAAAAAAAAAACAGGAAAGCGAGAAGGAAATTCCTGATTAGAATGCCTGCTTCTATAAACCTGGATCCATAATGTATTTCTCTTATGGGTTGACAAAATCCCTGATCTCCAAGACAGTCCAATCAGAATCTGTTCTTAAATGCTGCAAGGGAAAAACGGATTGATTCCCCTTCATTTATTTTATCCTCTTGCAACGGAAACTCCTCACTTCATCCAGAAAGAAAATGATATGTAAACACCTTCGCCCTGCTTCAAGCTTGAGAAGAAAAATATTTAACAGAATGAGAGTTGGGAGGGACCTTGGAGGTCTTCTAGTCCAACCCCCTGCTTAAGCAGGAAACTCTATAGCATTTCAGACAAATGGCTGTCCAATCTCTTCTTAAAAACCTCTAGTGTTTGCATCAACTGCAAAACTCTGTCTTGGCCAAACAGCTGCATGGAAGACCCAGGAAATTAGGCAACTAGCAGACAGTTTTGGGCCATCCCATCATCTTGCAAAGGAAGGCATAATGCAAGTGGAGGATTACCTCCCAGGCAATTGCTTTTTAAAGCAAGAAAGTCCTAATTTCTCTCTCCTTTCATTCAGGTTGCTGTACTGAGTATGAAGCAAAGCTATACGCACCACTTTCCAAGAAAATATTTTAAAAACCAATGAAACAAAATCCTAACTTTCATCATTACAATTCCCTCCAAGATCCTTTTGCTGTATTCAGCACTTCCTGGTTTGTTTATATCTTCATTCGATTCATATTCCGCCTCCTGTACAATTAGAAAGCCAACTACTTTCACCTACATAACACTCACCTCTGCATGTGATCAGGAGTGAGATTGGCTGTATTCCTTACACAGACGTAGTGAGTAGGGATGCCGCAACCTTGTGGCGAGTAGTGGGCTATCAAATAAAAATCCACCCTAACAAGAAAGAACCAAAAGGGGGGGGGAAAAGCAGAGTTGAACCTTCTATCGATTCACAGAGAAAGAATTAAGTCTGATTCTTTATCACCTTCAAAATGGAGGCCTGGAACAAAAGAAAATACCTGTGGTTGCTATTTAGATTGGCAAAGCCAAGATATGGGAACAGCTCTGAACGATCCAGATGGGGATTGCAATAGTCTGGGATAATTTTTAATGCTGGGCCACGGCTTCCCATGTCATACGTGGGGAAAGAAGGAAGAATGATCACGCCACTGAGTACCAGCCATCAATTCTATTCAACTCTGGGGAGACTGTCAGAATACGAAACCCAAGAGAACCAGCACAACCATACTGGTCTCTAGGCAACACCCACATAAGCACTGAAAGGCTAGTTCTTACTGTTCACTACTCCTCTCTTCCCTAGTTCTGCTACAGCTCTTACTACTGCTCTTCCACTGCTACTCCTTATTACTGCTGTAGAAGAGTATCTTACTCTTTGCCTTCTGGTTTACTTCCATAAAAGCACACAAACCGCCTTCCCTCTCACTTGAATACACTCACACATACCCCAGCTGCCTTTCTGATCAGCTTTTATTGCTGCTAGTCATTGTGTTGACTAGGGAGAGGTTTTAAAGGGACGAGGGCAACAGCAGCCCAACAGGAGGTAGCCATTTTGCAGGCAGCCTGACCTATCACATTGAGAGATGACTGTCTCGGTTCTGGAAACCTCCCACGTGGGTGGGTGTTTAATGTATGGTATAGAAAAGACTATCGATAAAACAAAGCTGACAAAAGGACTGTGGGCCATGATTGATTTTGATCACCTGGAGATCAGCTCTTTTTAAGTTGAAGGGGAAATGCCTAGAGACGCATTGAACAGAGTAACAGAGTTGGAAGGGACCTTGGAGGTCTTCTAGTCCAACCCCCTGCTCAAGCAGGAAATTCTATAGCATATCATATTAAAAGCCTCCAGTGTCTGCATTAACTGCAAAGCTGTGTCTATAGGAAGAAAAACAGTATTTTTTTTTTAATCATGGAAGAAAGGAAAAAATGCAAAGATTTTAAATGTCTATGGAGATAGTCACCCACATCATGATTGTCCCAAAAGTGCTTTTTTTGTTTGTTTGTTTCTTTCTTTTTCTATAGGCAACTGGACTTTCTGGTTTTTCTTGAAGACGTTTCGTTCCTCAGCTCAAAAGCACCTTTGGCTTTAAACTCCCCACTTCCCAGCAGCGGTTTCCAAAAGGTACTGGGAGATCTGGAGGAGGTGGGGAGGGGGTGCTGGGCGAAAAGCTTTTTCACTCACCAGTCTCGAGAGGTGGCTGTATGGTCCAACACCGTCCCCGGAGGAGGAGCTGAAAGTTGTTGAGCAGCTGAGGAATAGATGTTGGTGCTGATTTGTTTCTGAACCACAAACACCACCATTTTAGGGTTGTAATTATTAAAAGCTTCAAAGCATTTCTCCAGCTGGGGGATTTCATAGCTTTCTACTATTTTCAGCTGGCCATCTGAAACGCCGTCTCTGTAAATCACTATCTTCTCCGGGAGATGATGGTTGACCTTCGAGAGAACAAACATCCAACAATCAGAAAGAGCTAACCGCTCCTATCTAGATTTGATCCACAATTACAACGATTTCTTGCTCAAAGAGGAACTGGCTCCCTCTTTTCTTCTGCCTGATCTGTAGCAAAAGGCAGGGGGGAAAAAAAAATCTAAATTACAGGGAGTCCTCAACTTTCAGCCACAACGGAGTCCAACCAGGGGTGGGATGCTATAGGTTTGGCCCCGGCTCTTGGCTGACCTTTATTTCCTGCTTTTTCAACCTCAGCTGCTTTGCGCGGCACAGCTGAAGTTGAAAAAGCAGGGAAAAAACAGGCTTTTCAAACGCTGAGCAGCTGCATGCTGCGCTTTTCAGCTGTCTGAGCGGCACAGCTTAAGGTTTGTTACACGTGCATACAGCGCACGTGGGCAGTGTGCATCAGGCACGCGTGTGTGCAAAGCATGCATGTGTGCGCAAAACATAGTCACTGAACCAGAAGTAACACCGGTTGAATCTCACCCCTGAGTCCAACATTTCTGTTGCTAAATGAAACAGTTGTTTAGTGAGTTTTCTCCCCATTTTGCAACCTTTCTTGGGACTCAAGACAACCTACAAAGTTACTCCTGCATGGCCCCATGGGAGTCTGACAACCAATCAGGATACATTTCTTGGCACAGGAACAGGAAGCAAGTTCAAAGCCCAACAGAGGGTGTGTCTCTCTCTCCCTCTGTCTCTCCCTCCCCCCACTCTCTCTCTCTCTCTCTCTCGCCATACTACCCTGAACGCACCCGATCCCGTCTGATCTTGGAAGCTAAGCAGTGTCAGGCCTGGTGAGTACTTGGATGGGAGACTCTCTCTCACCCAGGTCCTGCTGTCCACCATTAAACCATCTTTCCAAGCAGCTTGCATGTTTCCAGTGTCTTTCTTCCCACTTGGAACTGAACCCAGAGGGACGTTTCTTCCAACACTTGTGGTCCCAGGGTCATTGTGACTCTCTGACAAGCAAAGTCAATGGGGAAGCCGCACTCACTTAATGACCGGGTTATTAACTTATCAGCTGCAATGGTTCGCTTAACAACTGTCGCAAGGAAAGTCATAAAATGGGGCAAAACCCACTTAACTAATGTCTCACTTCACAGAAATTTTGGGCTTAATTGCCATCATAAGTTGAGGACTAATAGTAAAGACAGCACAATGAAACAAACGTACCTTCTCAAAAAATATGCAAAACAGTTAATCTGGACATGCTTCTCTATAAATTCCAGAGAACTGGAAAATAATAGTTTGTTTCTCACCTCGTGGAATTTCTGCAAAGCAGCTACTAAACAGACCTTTAGGCTGTCTATTATTTCTTGATGAGGCGTCTGGAATATAACCTTGGAATACCATCGTGTCACAATTCTGGTGGCAGAAAAGGAGATGATATTAATCATGTTAATTCAAAACATAAAGCTTCATGATTCACCTGTTAACTTTTCAGCGCCATCATAGCCTTGGAATCCTTTTAACACTGCCACACTTATAGATTAGATTAGTGATGGCTAAATATTGGGGACGAAATTGGGATATTCAAAGAAATGAGTGGTATAATGAAATTTGGAGTATGACAACAAATGATAAATTAACAAATTAAATTTTAAAAAAGGGATGATTAAAGTAAACAATTATAATGTAATATGGGGAGATTTTATAACAACAGCGTTGGTGGAAGGCAAAGAGAATAAACCTACTCAAGAATGTATGCTGTTTTAGACAGGATACGGACACAATTGGAATATATTGTATATCTTTTAATTGTTATGGAAGAGGAAATATAAGGAAACAAAAAGGTCTCATCCTCTTCTTGTCTTTCCTTCCATGTTTCCCAGCATCAGGGCCTTTTCCAGAGAGCTGGATCTTCACATCATGTGTCCACAGTAGGATAAATTTGAACTTGGTCATTTGTGTCTCGAGTGAGAAGTCTGTTGACTCTACTGATTTGTTCGATGGTCCATCAGTTTGTTTTCTGTGCTGACCATGATATTCTCAGCAGTTTCCCCCAACATCAAACTTCAAAAGCATCATAACTGCTGCTATCCTGCTTCTTTAAAAATCCAATTTTCATTTCCATAGAGTGTCAAAGGAAATATCATGGCTTGCATGACTCTGGTCTTTACAGGTATGGAGACATCATGGCATCTGAGTATCTTTTCCAAGACTGCCTTAACTGATTGCTTACTCCTGTGATGTTGATGGTAGATCCTTAAAGGCAGAAATTATCCACCATTTCAATATCTTCATTGTCAGTTCTAAGGCTGGCTGCTCTACCTGTCATTATTGGTCTTCTTAAATTGGTGGTCTTCTAATTTCACGTTCGTCCCAAATTTTCACTGTGCTCTTTGTCTTTTAGTACTTTGCAGATGCTTTTCATTTTCCACCTGGCCTCTTATTAAATCAAAAAGAAAGAAGGAAATTCTCCCCAACCCCATGCAGTCAGTGGCTTCTGGGAGATGATCAGGATTAAGACCTGCTGAAACTGGTTCCATACCCAAGACAAGAGAGAGGGAAGACTGAGGGGTCTCCTTCTAGAAGTCAGCAGATGAGCAGATGGTGGGACACTAGGGAGGAGGGTGGAGAAGAAGGCTGAGCAAGTGAACCTGTGAATTAAGCTTAGCTCGCAAATCAGCCAAGCTGCTCCTTAACTTTTGACAGGAAGGATATTGTTTTCAATAAAAAAAACCCTGAATACCTAAATCATAAGCAGCGTGTTCCCCCCCACCCCCAAGACCAGAACCATCAAATATTTGGAAATCAGCCTTTCAGAGCTGAAGGAGTTTCTTAGATGAGCAGCAAAATGTCTTCAAAAGAAAAAACAAACAGAAAGTCCAGTTGCCTCTTGAAAAAAAACACCTTTGGGACAACCATGACCTGGAGGACTGAGAATCTCCACAGCCATTCAGCATGAACTTAAGGAAGGACCCCAGTCCTAGAACAGACCCATAGATCTGAAAGCCCAAGTTTTTTTTTTTTTTAAAGAGGACACTTACGGACTGGTACTTGCCACAAAGCCCACCATTGAGCGCTTCCCCTTGGTGGGATCATGATACACATCTATGCCAATCACCATCAGCTGTTTCTGGAAGGAAGAACAAGATGTTATTCTCCACAGGCACAGCTGCCAAGAAGGGATATCCAGCTAGACAGACAGACAGATGTGCTTAAAGATTTCCTGTTTGTTTTATTTATACCCGCACTTATTTTTTATAAACAATTCAAGGCAGTGGACATACCTCTCACTCCTTCTTTCCCCACAGCAACAACCTTGTGAGGTAAGTTGGACTGAGACTGGGGGACCTGTCCAAAGTCACCCAGCTGGCTTTTGTGTCTAAGGCAGGACTAGAACTCACCGTCTCCTGGTCTCTAAGCCTGGTGTTTTAATTATTAAACATAAAAGTGCCTTTTCAAAAGGCAACTGGACTTTGGTGTTTTTTTTCCCCCCTTCCTTCAAAACATTTTTCTTCTCATCCAAGAAGCTTCTTCAGTTCTTGGATGAGAAGCGAAACGTTTTCAAGAAAGAAAAAAAAAAAGAAGTCCAACTGCCTCTTGAAAAAGCACCTGCATGATTGAGAATCTCTGTAGACATTTTAACTACTAAACTGGCTCATTTCATCAAAGCGTGCTTGAAAAAAACACAAAGTATGTAGAAGCCTTACAGGCAGGGCTCTGAGCACTCCATGTCTGGTGAGATCCCTCCTCAAAATTGGTATTTCTGCCAATTAAAAGTTCCCTAAATTTGCAGGTGGCTCCCTCTGGTGCATCCAACTTGAGAATGCAGCAGAGAAAACAGTAAGCAAGCAAGCTGGCATGTCATTCCTAACTTTAACCTTAAGCAATCTCTCTCCCCTACTTCGCTACTTTTGAGCCCTCTGATCTCTACACCATGCTGAGCACTTGTCTTTATAGCATGGGAGTTTCCCATGGCTCAGCCATAATTCAAGTTAATCTTGATTCACGGTGACTTTAATAAGAGTGCACCTCCCCTATCACCTTCCATAAAAGGACCATGACAAGGTATTTTCCCAGCTGAAATTTCTGGTATGTTTTATGTTTTTGTTAAACGTGATAAATAACTTTCTCTACTCAAATACATTAACGTGTTATCCATTTGGTTAAGTATAAGCACTTCAGGAAGCAAACACTGCCGAAGATAGTAACATTTCTACTGTTAGCATTCCAAGAGAAAGCTCTCTTTTGTAATAGCAATAGCACTGAGACTTATGTATATACCGCTTCACAAGTGCTTTTCAGCCCTCTCTAAGCGGTTTACAGAGTCAGGATTTTGCCCACAACAATCTGGGTCCTCATTTTACTTTGGAAGGATGGAAAGCTGAGTCAACCTTGAGCCTGGTGAGAATCGAACTGCTGGCAGTGGGCAGTTAGCCTGCAATACTGCAATGTAAGCACTGCACCACCATTGCTTAACCCAGAAAAGATTCCCAGTTCCAATTTTTCATCACATTCTTATACTGTCCATTGTATGAGAAGGAGCAACCCAAGCCATCCCGTTTTGTGCAGAAGTTGGAATCTTAAGAATCTTTTCTATAACCTGGCTTAATCCACAGACAACGTATTTCTACTCTACAAAAAAGGGACAATGAATCTGATCATTTGGAAAATGTTGTATAAGTGGCTAATGGCTTCTGGGCTTCTGGCTGATGCTCACATCAGAAATGTGGCACTTGGGCCATTGGGCTTACACACTCTTGATGCGTAAGTAATTATTCTTACAAATATTACTGGCAGTAGTGGATGACAGGATTAACGTTGATAGTAATGTGTCTTAAACATATCAGCTGAGTTCTTCAGTGGGTTGTTGTGTATACCTTCACTTTTCTCTTTTTGAAACAGCATCTTATCCATGCAAACTGTAAGAGGACAGAAATGATCCTGACCATTGCTCTCCACTTGAGATTGTAACATATTATTTTCAAGGCTCCCAACTTTCAGCAGGTCATAATTAAGTGAAAGGGGGAGTCCAGGGAAGTGAAAGGAACTGAAAAAGGTGGATATTAATAGTGCCATTTAAAGAACACAAGTATTCATACATAAAATATGTAACATTACTTTAGAGAATTATTATTTTTACTGAATTAAGCTTCAATGAAGAGAAATAATGTCAGTATTACTTACCAATGGAATGTCCACACTCCACAGCTCTCCACCTAACTTACAATTAATTTGCAACAGAATCTTCTGGGCTATACTTCTCAGTTTAACATACTGAGTTGTAATGGTTCGAGCATTAATAACCTGGAGCAATTAATAATTAGAATTACTAAATACCCGGGCAAGAAATGTTTATCTTTCAACAATTCTCAGTTTGGTTATTGCACAAAATGTTTTAAACCATTCTACTTTGAGCTTAATTTCATCAGGAGTACCCTAATGCAGGGCTGTCAAACTCCCGGCTCACGGGCCAGATACGTCACCCACTGGCCATGCCCACGCCCAGTTTAGCGAAGGAGGAAAAAGTCCCGATACATCACGTTATGCCACTGTGATGACGTGAGTTTGACACCCCTGCCCTAATGCTTTCCTGACTTCATCAGAAGGACTCTAACTTCAGAATAGCCCCCTTTTGAATTTGAAACACTTCCACTAAAATCAGAAGGGCATTGAAATATTTTTTATGAAGTTAGAAATAGCCCTTTCAAAAGTCAAAATGGTTGAAATTCCATATTTCCCACATCTAATTCTAACCTGTGAGTTTTAATATATTTGCAAGGCAATAAGAGGTTATTAGTGCTTAAAGTAAATACCGTTTGTTTCTCCCTCACAAAAAATTAAGCCTCCATTCAGCAAAACATATTTATTAACCCTTAAGTTATTAAATATGTTTATTTAATATACCTTATTATTAAATATATTATTTAATATTTAATAATGTCATCTTCGGGCAGCACTGGCTCTTCTGCTTTGTAACGGAGATGAGCACCGCCCCTAGAGCCGGAATTTACTAGGACGTATGTGCGAGGGGAACCTTTACCTTTAAATTATTAAAAATACAGGTTTGACCAAGTTTCCCCCATATTTTTACATTCTAAAAAAAATCTGATTTTAAAGATCCATTCATTAAACGATTGAATTCTCAATTCACAATTAAAAGCTATATTGTTGATATTCGTTACATTGATGAATATTTGAACATCATAAAACTCTAAATCAACAGAACACGAAACCGTTCAAAGCTCATGTACCATGTCTATAGACACATATATAAACATCAGAGGCTCTTCCTAAAAACGCAGGTGATCAAACAAGTAGTATCATCATCAGCAATGTCCATTCAAGCATTTTTACAGCCTCAAGGAACAGACAATTATTTGGCATACCTGGGAAGGAACTGGGTTCTGTACATTGCACAGTCTTTTAATAGCCCTGTACAAATCGTCTTTAGTTCCTGTGATAATACAAACGACTAATTGTATTGATCCCTTAATAAAGAGAAAGGACAGTAAGTAACCAATTTGCAATAAGATCATTAAATACCAGTATACCATGATGAGTTGGGGTATTGGGAGGTGGAACTAATGTCATTTATTAATTTACATCCTGCTTTTATTTTATGCAATTGAAGGCAGTGTAACTAATGCTTCCTTCTTGCAATTTCCCCACAACAAGAACTCTAATAAGAGGGTTGGGTTAAGAGCCCAAAATCTCCCAACCCAGAGTCTCCTGATTTCTGACTAACACCTTAACCGCCACACCAAATGGGCTCTCGGCCATTACTTTATGATTGCAAAAATATTTCAAACCTGAATGCCAAACCACAGTGGTACCTTGGTACTCAACTGCTTTGAAACTCATCGAATTTGATACTCAACACATTTTGACATGAACATTTTGTCCTTGTACTTATCGCTTGTTTAGTACTCAACACACAAGCTAGAACTTGTCGATGTTGACTGCCTTGTGACTAGCTACATTATTTCTTAAGGGAAATATCTGTTTGGTACTCATCATTTTTGTTACTCATCGCACCTCCCGGAACCAATTAATGATGAGTACCAAGGTACCACTGTATATGTTTGTTCATATTTCAACAAAATATGAATCCATTAGAAGGCAAACTATTGAGGCTCAGTATCTCCTTCCCAGGAAAGTTTTACCAAGATCAGATTCCAGATGTTTGCTCTATCCATCCCAACTATACACTCCTCTTCCTTCTCCCTTCCTGTCTTAATATTCTGTATCTCAGTATATTTTATCTGAAAGCAAGATAAAGCTGCAAGAGGAGAGAGAAAAAAAATCAAACAAGAAACCACCATTGTAAAATCACAAACCCATAAACTCACACCTCATTACTTAGCAATGATTTGATAGCTCTGGCGTAAGTCTCTATTCGGTCATCTTTCAATTCTTTCCAAATAGGTGCAGCTAATGGGATTTCAAGTGGTCCTGAAATTTTTTGCAGCATGCTGACTAGTTCATGTGCTTGCTCCATCGTCTGCTTTGGGTAAAAGAGTGCCCAGAAATGAATTGGAATCTAAGAAATAAAAGAAAAGTCAATATACTTTTGACACTTGCAATAGACACCTGCTTCCCAGGGATTTGAGGATAGTAATATAATTTTTACTACAGAGAGTCCTTGACTCACAACTATTTGTTCCAGAATTAGTCCCTGATACTTCTATACTGCAATAATGGAGTGCTTCCATTTCCTTGTACCAATAATGTAGTCTATTTTATTTTTGTGTCTTCCATCTGGTGATCTCTATGTATACAACTTTAAGAGGTCTGGGCAATAAAATAATGATTAGACTGGCAGCAAGTAATTCTCCTGTTTCATTTCTGTTTCCTAGACCATAAATCCAATTATGTCTTTCTTAATACTACTTCAGCATTCCAATCTCTCACCACAAGCAGCATTATCTTGATTTCACATTGGATCAATTTCAGATTAAATTTGGTACAAAACTGGTCAACTTCCTCCTCTTTTATTTCAATGGAACACAGAGGAAGAAACAAAGACAAGAAAGAATCCTAGTTCATACATCTTCACAACTATAGGTGACTTACGACCATAATTTGACGTAAAATTATACACCACCGACATTGCTGCTGCCCTACAAAGCAACCTTGACTGTATCAGAATTGGTCGCGCAATTGGCAACTCCAAATTTCAACTAATAAATCCTCTGTCCTACACACTGGCAATAAAAATTAGAATGTCAAACACAAGTTGGGTGGAAATGATCTCGTAGGCGACCCTCACCAAGGACCTCGGAATACTCATCTCAAACGATCTAAGCCCCAAAGCTCACTGTAACAGCATTGCAAAAAGGCATTAAGAGTTGTTAACCTTATTTTGCAAAGCTTCTTCTCCGGTAACATTGAAATGCTAATTAGGGCATACAAAACCTTTGCCAAACCAATTCTCGAATACAGCTCGTCCGCCTGTAACCCGCAGTGTATATTGGACATTAACACAACTGAACGGCTTCAGAGGTATTTCTCGAGAAGAGTACTCCACTCCTCTACTCACAATAGTATTCCCTATGCTTCCAGGTTCCAAATTTTGGGCCTGGACAATCTTGAACTGCGCCGCCTGCGGACCGATCTAAGCATCATTCACAAAACTGTCTGCTGTAACATCTTGCCTGTCAACGACTTCAACCGCAATAATACACGGGCAAACAACCGAAACAAACTCCAAACTCGATTACAGAAAATACTATTTCATCAACAGAGTGGTCAACGCCTGGAACGCCCTACCCGACTCCGTTGTTGCAGCCTCAAACCCCTTGCAGCTTCAATCTCAAACTGTCTAGCGTGGACCTCACCCCATTCCTAAAAGGTCCCTAAAGGAGGCGTGCATAAGCGCACCAGCGTGCCTACCGTCCCTGTCTTATGGTCCCCATTTATCTGTATTTACTCCCTTGGTTCATGATTATGTTCATACCTATACTCGTTATCTTGTACATGTTTGACAAACAAACAAATAAAATAAATAAACAATTGAGCCCCAGATTTTTATTGCTAAATGAGACATTTGTTAAGTGACTTTTGCCCCATTTTAAGACCTTATGTCAGCGTTCACAGGAGGCACCCATGGAAAGCAGAACTCCGAGGCAGGCAGATTTTCCTCAAAGGACAGTTTATTGGATGCATCATATTGGCACAACGGGTGAAAAACGACTCTGAAAATTCCTGTGGTTTTCACCTAATTAAAAAGTGAAAGGTTCCCCCTTCCTTCAAGTCATCCGTCACACTGACCAATAGAGGCGCTGGCCGGTTGCTTGGTTACTCCCCTCCTCCTCTCCCCAGCCTTGCCTTGCCTTGCCACAGTTGTTAAGTGAATCACCGTTAAGTCGGTAACCTGGTTGTTAAGTGAATCTGGCTTCCCCATTGACTTTGCTTGTCAGGAGGCCTCAAAAGGGGACCACCTGATTTCTGGACACTGCAACCGTCAATCAAGGTGAGTTGGTTGTCAAGCATCTGAATATTAATCACGTGACCATGGGGAGGCTGCAATGGTCACTAAGGGCGAAAAACAGCCACAAGTCACGTTTTTCAGGGCAGTTACAATTCTGAACAGTCACTAAATGAACTGGTTGTTAAGTCGAGGACTACCTGCATCTGTTGAAGAGAATGCTGAGTCAATTGTTCCACCCCACAGAAGAGTGCCCCACACCCAAAATTAAGCTTACTGCAGAGATGCAGGCTTCTCTGCAGATTTCTTTAGTCCAGTTCAGGCTTTCCGAGGTAGTGAAGGAGGTTTTCTTCAGGTTTATTCTTTCCATGGGGAGGACGCGCCCGGTGGTCTGAAACAGGCAAACAACAAGAAAATAAGGCTGCATGCAAGGCTAAACCTGGGACAGCCTTTGGCCCATTTTAAGTCCAGAGCTCAGCACCAAATATGCCTTAAAGTAACGGACCCAACCTTTCCAACTTGGCGGCCAGGTGTGTGTGTGTGTGTGTGCGTGTTTGTGTCAGAGGTGGTATTCAGCTGGTTCTGACCAGTTCTGGAGAACCGGTAGCGAAAATTTTGAGTAGTTCGGAGAACCTGCCAATACCACCTCTGACTGGCCCCGCCCCCATCTATTCTCCACCTCCCATTGAGTCCAAGCTGATTGGCTGGGTCTTCTTTGGTTGCCCTGCACAGGAGAATGGAGCTGGAAAGCAGGTTTGTGCGGTGGGGAGGGAATGGGGATTTTGAAGTAACCTTCCCCTGCCACGTCCACCAAGCCACACCCACCAAGCCATGCCCACAGAACCGGTAGTAAAAAAAATTGAATCCCACCACTGGACTCTGTGTGTGTGTGTGTGTGTGTGTGTGTGTGTGTGTGTGTGTGTGGCAGTTGCGCGCACAGCTCCATGTGTGCAAGCATCGGGCACACATGCCCTCCATGTGTGCAAATGGATCTTTGTGCCCTAACAGAGAGCGCTTGCACACATGTGGGAAGCTCCACTCACACGAGTGGCTATTTCACAGATTTAAAACAGCAAAAGTGGTGCTACGATTTTCAATATCTACAAGGCAGAACTTCAAGACCGAGAATTTGCTGATATGCCCCCCGTCCATCTCATAAGAAGCGATTCTGGGCATTGTATAGCAAAACCAAGCAGAAAACAATAAACGCATTAAACACTGTCGTATTTTAAAAAATGAAATAATAAGGGCAATGAAGCCACTTCAAGATCTCACCGGTCCCGGAAACACCCAGGCTTAGTGACAAAAGCCAGATCTTTATGGACTTTCAGAAAATAAGGAGGGATGGAGAATTACCTCATCTTGGCAGGGGAGGGATGTGGGCGCCACAGTGGAAAAGACTCACCTCCTTGGGCCCATCAAGCGCAGTTCCCTGGAGGGGGAACCTGTAGGATGTATCTCTTGCCAGAGCTGATGGGGTGAGCTGGTGTAATGGGGGAAATGTGGCTGCTCAAATAAATCAACCCGTGTCATGAAAGGCATTAAAGGCCCTAGACAGAAGGAGTGCTGCTGAACCTTGTCAGTTTTTTTTTTTTTTAAAAAGGAACAATTCTCTCTCCCTCAGTGTGACTCCCTCAAAATTTAAAACTGAAATTCAATGTGTACTGTAGTACAGAACATCTCCGTGAATCCTGCAGTTTTCCGAGCAGACAGACACGGAGAAGTTGGTGGACCAAGATTACAGGTAGAAAAAGGAAACAAAAGTAAGTTTTAAATTTGAGTAGTCATAGAAGGAGAAAAACCCTCTCACTTTTTGTGAGGTGTAACTTTTAGAAGATATTTAATTTTTCAGTTCTGTTCCCCTGAGCTTCTAATCACCAGGCATAAAATTATTGCCCAAGTAGATTCAGTGCTATTCACCAGCTCAAGGCAGGAACGAAGTGACAAAGGCAGAGATCAATCTTACACAACTTTCTGATCAGGGCCAAAAATGTACTGCCTTTGGGTAAATACTCTTGGGACTTTGCGGAAGTGAAGGACCTATTTATTTTCCGTGATTGACGGTTGTCCTAGGTGCTGAAAAATAACCACAAAATAAAGGGAAAAGGATATATAGATTAGCCATTTACTTTCTACACCATAGTTAGCAGAAGAAGACAAAAAGCAGGGGATAGTAGGGTGACCAATCTCTTCTTGGTCAAAACCTTTTTTTTTCATAAAATAGGCCGGATCCCATCTGGCAAAGCTTAAAGCACTGGCAAAGCTACCACAGATTTTCCTTACCCTGTAAACATCCCCATCCAAGAAAAGCCCCCACCGGGACAATTCCTTATGGGCACTCTCATTCTTCCCAATTCTGCTAAGAAGTTGAAGCAGAGCGGCATGATGCTGTCCGGGACTCATGTTGACTTTCTGCGTAAGGTCCTGAACAGAGTGGACACAGACAAGGGGTGAGGGGACGAAGGCACTTCAGCTTGTATTAAAAAAAAAAGGAAGCATATATAACTCATTGACAGCAAAGCAGCAGTTTGAAGAAGCAGCTTCTCCAGTGACTTGCTTTTAAAATTCACAATGAACAAAAATCAGGAGGGGAAATTGCACATTAAAAAAACAACACGCATTTTTTTTTTCTTGCATTATTATTGGACACCATCTTGAGGGTTTTTTTTTTTTTTAAATTACATCCTACAGACACCTCTGAACAGAATCCTCTCTATAGGTGGTCCTTGGCTCAGTTTAGTTTAGCTTAGTTTATTGTTATTGCACCTCGTACAACGAAATCAAACACCATCTTCAGTGCACATCATGACCATGAAAATAAACACAAACACACATCCTTCACCCTCCACACATTGAATTGAAAATCCCCGACACCGCATCAACACTGCACTATACAGGAGAATTCAAAAGAGCATCTGGGATAGAAGCTGTTTTTCAGCCTATTTGTCCTTGTTTTTATTGTCCTGTACTGTCTGCCAGATGGTAATAGTTAAAAAAAAAAAGGGTGCCCAGGATGAGATGGATCTTTGAGAATGTTTTGAACTTTCTTAAGGCAGCGGGAGCTATAAAGCTCTTCCAAAGAGGGGAGAAGGCAGCCAATGATCCTCTGGGCAACGAGGTTAACCTTCTGGAGTGCTGTCCTATCTGCCACTGTGCAACTTACAACTACAATTGAGCCCAACGTTTTGCTGCTAAATGAGACAGTTGCTAAGTAGGTTTTGTCCCATTTTATGACCTTTCTTGCCACTGTTGTTAAGTGAATCAGTGCAGTTGTGAAGTTAGTAACACGGTTGTTAAGTGAATCTGGCATTCCCCCCATTGGCTTTGCCTGTCAGGAGGCCACAAAAGGGGATCACATGACAAAAGGGGACATTTGCAACCATTATAAATCGGTTGTCAAGCGGCTGAATTTTGATCATGTGATCATGGACGTGCTGCAACGGTTGTGTGAAAAAACGGTCATAAATCACAATTTATTCTCAATTCTAAAGCTGAAATATTTCCGGTTTTAGTTCTGCCAAACCACAGCACAATCACTTTGAGTTGGAAATGGAGACCACGTTCCATTTTGTGCACAAACTCTACAATCCAAGCAGGAGCCACTTCAGCACCCAAGCCACTTAAGCCACTGCAAGAAATGGCAGGGATAAATGATAAGATTCCTCCTCCCAAAATTTCAAATGGAAGAGAATGAGATTTACTGCTTTTTAAACTTAGCTATTAGATGTACTATACATCCCACCGTTTTATCCTATACAATTGAAAGTAGCTACATTATTCTTCCAGTTCCTATATTCCCCACAATATACAGGTGGGGTGGGCTGGGTTGGATTGAGAAAGAGGGATTGGCCGAAAGTCAACCACCTGAACTAAGGAAGGACTAGAACTCATGGCCTCCCAGAAACTATCTTCTAGCACAGGGATCCCCAAACTTGGCAACTTTAAGACTTGTGAACCTCAACTCCCAGAATTCCTCAGCCAGCCACCGCTAGTATCGTTATCTACATTCATAGATCAGATTGGTCATGTCCCAAAAGATTGGGGGCTGGAAATAATAATCCCAATTTATTAAAAAGTCAATAAGAACAAGGATCTTTTTTGAGTGTCATCAGCAAATTGCTAGGCATGCGAAATTTCAAACTCCAGGACTGGATAAAGACAGAAGGCATAAGCCCCAGACAAGCAGCCAAGGTCATTGGTTTAGATCTGGATTTAGAGAAGGGAGGCCATCAACAGGCTAGAGTTTGGCGCTCCACCATGTTGCACAAAAATACGCTCCATCAAAAAAATCCTCCTCCTTCATGGCCTTTGTAGATTTTAAACATGGCTTTGACTCAATATCCAGGAATGCAAAAAATTAAGTCCACAAGTCTTAAAGTTGCCACATTTGGAAACCTCTGTTCTAGCACTTTAACCACTAAATAAATTTCAATAATGTCTTTACAAGAAAAATGCCATTAGTGTCTTGTGATCTGAGTAGAAGGAATAAATCGTTAGTGATTAGTGACTACAACTTTTGGCTGTTTAGACAAGCTCAAAATGTCAGCCAACATGACGTCACCACGTGAGATCTCTGGGAGGCCAAGGGAACCCTTCTTCAAGCAGAGCGCGACTAGAAGGCTTCAGATGCTATTGAACCAACAAAACCAGGGCTCGGAATGGATAGCTACAACTTAAAAAGTTGTTGAAAGGCCAAATATTTGATGTAGTAAGAGGTTGAGGATTTTATAAACAAATTCCAATTCTGTATAAAATATATAGTTCAAGCACCTTCATAATTCTAAAATCTTGTCTCATCTTCTCAGGAATGCCTGTCAAGAAGGAAAGCTCTGGCACTAGCAGGATTTCACCTTCCTGAAGCTGCAGGAAAATCAGATACAAAACCTATTAGCACACATCACATACAGAAATAAATCATTTAACATCAGCTACGCTGATGTATGCCATAGACACATTAGATGGGAAGGAAGGAAAGGGAAAGCTGATGGTGACAAGAAAACCAAACAGGTGATATGAGATTGATTTTTTTTTTAATTGTCACAATTTTCTCTTCAAACCCTGTAAATAAACATTAAGTGATAGTTGGAGTAGTCCAGGGCTAGCATAGCTAACACGAGAGCTAATGGCTTATGACTAACACTCAGAGATGTCTTTTCTTAGCACTGATAGAACATAGAATAACAAAGTTGGAAGGGAGCTTAGAGGTCATCTAGTTCAACCTCCAGCTTCAGCAGGAGATCCTATACCATATCATGCAAATGGCTGTCCAGTCTCTTCTTGAAAGCCCCCAGTGTTACAACCATTTTCTCTTCCTGTTTGTTGCTGGAGTTAATCTGGAAGGCTGAGGTGCTTGACCAGCAATGGCCAATTTCCAATACTATGCCAGTTGAAAGCTTGTATTCATACAAGGCTTAAACTATAAGAGTGAGGGGCATCACAACCTAAAGCTTCCCTCTAAACTGGCTAGTCTATTTAAAACACACACACACACACACACAACCTTATGCTTGGAAACATCTGGGGGGGGACTGATGGTGGGAGAAATCAAAGCCAGACCCACCATGACACCTGTTCCATAGTAATTCCCACACTCCTCTGTAATAGCTCGAAAGCGTTTCTAGCCCAGAAACATCACCCAAGACAAGTCACACAAATCAAGCCATTCTAGTGATGCCTGCATTACAAACGCCAGCATTGGTTGCTTCTAAATGCAACTGCTCAAATTCTCACCTTTCCTGGAGGATTTTTTCTTTTTTCAACTCTGTAAATCAACAGTGGCTGGTCAAGCTCTCTAATGGTAATCCCATAATTTTTACTGGAAAAAGAATGTTATATGAGTTCTAGGAAGGAAACAAAACTCACTTGATAATTTTAAATATCAATAGCTGAAAGACTAATTTAAAAAAATTCCAATTAAGCCAAAGTACTTAATGACTTTGATAATAGCCGTCACTTCAACAAAACTTAAGCAAGATACTGAATGTCTTATTCCCATTAATTATTTTCTTTTTTCCCATTTTATCTCGACCTTGTAGAAACACTGAATCATAATCTTTTACCTGTAATACTCTAGAAAAGTGATTTCCTTCCCATCCGACATGGTGAAACTGTTCTGTGGTGTCTTGTTCCAATCAATGTCATCAATTCGGTAATTTTTATTGTTGTAACGGGTAAGTATGATGTTGCCAATAAGTTGCTTTGTACACTCATCTTGGAAATTATCCCGACTCTGTTGATAAATTCTATGCCTTTATGAAAACAGAAATGCTTAAAGTTAAAAACCAGGAAGGCACAAATTGTAGTCTCACCTTGAGTTTACCAGCTGACTTTAAGAAGTCTGTTTTTACCCCACTGGCAGAACCCCATCTGCCAAATACACTCGTCTTACTCTAACTTTGCAATGCTTTGTAGTTCTTGGTGCTCTCTGACCTTGGTGGTTTGCTTCTAGATGTTTCATTAGCCAACTAGGTAACATCTCCAGTGCAAGTGAGTGCAGGGTTTGCTGCCTGTTTATATTCAGGAGTTTTCCCTGTCAGTTTTGGTGGGAGAATAATTTCCTACTTGGTGGTTCCTTGATTAGAATATTGTTTTCTGTCTGATTTGTCTGATGTGGATCCCTGCTTATTGAATGTTGGTTGCTGAAAGGGATGGGTTGTAGCCTTTTTGTTTTTTGTTTTTTTATTCTCTTTTTAATAATTTAATGGTGTGGAATGGTCTTACACAAACAAATAATGAGCTGAATGAAAGCTACTTGGCATATTTGATAGCTCAATAAACTTATTCTGAGAACTCTGCATTCTGCAGCACACAGGATCAACATCACCTTATGATTCTCTGTCATGGCACCAGCTCTATGAAACACCATCATTTTGAAGTTCCAAAGACCTCCAAGCCCAACTTTTTCTTCAGTCTTGGGATAAGATAGATGTTGAGATCTTGTCAATTTAGCGTGTGTGTGTGTGTGTGTGTGTGTGTGTATTCCTGGATATATACTTTTTTTTTACTTTTTAAACTGCAAGTCACCCAGAGTAGAATCAGATGGCCACTAAATGTTAGACGATAATTAAAATACATTATAACAGGAAAAATGTGCTGAACAGCTTGAAATAGATGTATACTAGTCTCCCCTTATTTCTTCGTCGGTGAAACATAAACACAACAGGAAAAAATGATATGCAGTTATAAATAACAAATTAAACATCATAAAAAATACAAAGCAATATTTTTGCTAGAAATGCATAAGCCGGGGAGATCTAAAATGGGATTCTCTACATGGGAACTTTGTCTATAGCGGGGTGGACAACTCTGGCACTTTATGACTTGTGGACTTCAACTCCTAGAATACCTGCATATCTATGGTGATTCTCAGTCCTCCAGGTCATGGTTGTCCCAAGGTACTTTTCCAAAAGGCAACTGGACTTTGTTTTTCCTTGAAGACATTTCACTTCTCATCCAAGAAGCTTCTTCAGTTTTGACTGAATGGTGGAGGATGGAAGGATTTATATTCTTTGCAGCCATCTGGTCATTAACACTCTCTCTGAGAATGGGCGTTGGTTCTTACCTGACACGCCATTTCTCTGGAGCCGTGAGGATCATCCAGTGTGGGAGGTGGTCCAGTCTGCGTCGTTGTAGGCTGAGCTTAATTACTGAGGAACGCTCCGCCCTCTGTCATGTGGCTCCCTTGCATTCCCCAGTTTGCGCGAAGACGAGAGTGAAGAAAGGTCGTTCTCTCATCCTCCTATGCTATAGAGTTCATTGGCTGAAACAAGTTCCCACCAGACGGCAAATCTAAAGGGTGGGGCTGGATGATCCTCACGGCTCCAGAGAAATGGCGTGTCAGGTAAGAACCAACGCCCATTCTCCTGAGAGCCGTTCGGATCATCCAGTGTGTGGGACATACCAAAGCTTGGCTGTCCTACGGGGGGGACTCCGTCTGGCCCTGCAACCTCTGAGGTTCCCTAAAGACTTGCTGAAGGACTCGTCTACCAAACGAAGCCTCCGCCGAGGCAAACGTGTCTATCTTATAGTGTCTAATGAAAGGAGATGGGGATGCCCAAGTGGCTGCCCTACAAATATCGGAAATTGGAGCCTGAGTGGCCCAAGCTGCCGAGGTGGCTGCACTTCTAGTGGAGTGCGCTGTGATCCCCCTGGGTACCGGCAGAGCCTGGGACAAATAGGCCTTGGCAATAGTAGCCCTAATACAGCGGCCGATGGTTGACGGGGACACCTTATGGCCTAGTGATTTGGGTTGGAAGGAAAGAAATAAGGATTCTGATCTCCGGAAGGGCTGGGTACGTTTAATGTAAACGCGTAGGGCCCGCCTAACGTCCAGGGTGTGCCAAAGCTGCTCCCTTTCCCGCGAGGGATTGGGGCAGAAGTTCGGGAGTGTGAGTTCCTGGGCCCTATGGAAGGCCGAGTTGACCTTGGGCAGGAAGGTGGGATCCGGTCGGAGGACCACCCGGTCGGCATGGAAGATGCAAAGGTCCTTCCTTACCGACAAGGCTGCAAGCTCTGATATTCGGCGGGCCGAAGTAATAGCCACCAGGAACACGACTTTGAACGTTAAGAACTGGAGTGACGCTTCCCTGAGGGGCTCAAAGGGGTGTTTAGTGAGGGACACCAGGACCTTATTAAGATCCCAGGTAGGATATCGATGTATGGTTGGGGGACACAAGTTGGTGGCTCCTCTGAGGAATGTCCGAATACGAGGGTGGTGGGAGAGGGAACCCAGATTATCACAGGCAATGACTGTTGAGAGAGCTGCGACCTGACGCCGCAAGGTGTTTGGAGAAAGACCTTTCCTCAAGCCCTCTTGGAGGAACTCCAAGACTTGAGCGATGGGAGGTGAAAGCGGGTTGACCTGGAGACTATGGCACCACTTGCAGAAGCTATTCCAAGTGGCGTCGTATATACGGGTTGTTGAAGGCCGCCTGGCAGCTAAAATGGTAGTAATAACCTGGTCAGAGAAGTGTTCGTTTTTTAAGCGTTCCCGCTCAACCTCCAAACGGCTAACTGGAGCCACTGAGGGTCCGGGTGTTGAAGGGGCCCCTGGGAGAGGGATATCCTGTTGAAGGGAATTTTCCAGGGAGGGGCCACCGACAAGTTGCGGAGGTCCGCAAACCAAGGGCGCCTGGGCCAGAAGGGGGCCACTAGAATCAGCTCCGCTCTCTCGGAGATAAGCTTCTGGATGACTCTGGGAAGCAGGGCTAGTGGAGGGAATGCATATAGGAGCCCTGTGGGCCAGGGACAACGGAGGGTGTCGTAATTCTCAGCCCCGTGGGAGGGGTACCTGGAGAAAAACCTGGGGAGTTGTGTGTTGAGTGGGGAGGCGAAGAGATCCACCAATGGAAGACCGAACATCCTGGTCGCCTCCCTGAACAGTAACGGGTGGATGCGCCACTCGGACTGGTCCACCGTGGTCCTGCTTAGCCAATCCGCTTGAGTGTTTAAGTCCCCTGAGATGTGTTCGGCTTTGAGGGAGAGGAGGTTGCGATCCGCCCAACGGCAAAGGCGCTCGGCCTCTCTCATCAAACTGATAGACTGGGTGCCCCCCTGTCGGTTGACGTGAGCCTTGGCGGTGACGTTATCCGTGAGTATGAGGACATGCCGCCCGCATACGTGTGGAAGGAAATTGCGCAGGGCCAAGTGGATCGCGCGGAGTTCCAACCAGTTTATACTGCATTCCCGTTCTACCTGTGACCATCTGCCCTGTGTTGAGAGGGAGTGGATGTGGGCGCCCCATCCGGACAGGCTGGTGTCTGTGGTGAGGGTGAGGCGTTGGGGCTCCTTGAAGAAATGGCCCTTGTTGATGGTGGGACGGGTCCACCAGAGGAGAGACGTGAGGACCCTTGAAGGTACCTTGACTGAGGCCTTTGAATTGCTTCTGCCGGTCCGCTGGAACGGGAGCAGGAACCACTGTAGGGATCTAGTGTGTAAATGGGCCCATGGAACAATGGAAATACAAGAGACCATTTTACCCAGTAATTTAGACAATTCTAAAATTGTTACCTTCCTTGATCGCCTGATATGTTTGATGGCTTCCTGGATGCTAAGGAATCTCTCTGAGGAAAGGAAAACTTTACCCTGAACTGAGTCAATGACGGCCCCCAAGTGGGTGATCCGTGTAGATGGTGACAGTTGGCTCTTTTGCCAATTAACTAGGAAGCCATGGTCTTGGAGGGCCGAGAGAGTAGCTCTAATATCCCTCTCTGCGTGGGTTTTGGAGGGAGAGAGGATGAGGATGTCATCCAGGTAACAATGGAGGTGGACCGGGAGGTTCCTGAGATGGGCCGCCAGGGCCGCTAGGACCTTGGTGAAGGTTCTCGGGGCCGAGGCCAGCCCGAAGGGAAGGGCCACATATTGGAAGTGGCGATGGTTGTAGCAGAACCTGAGGAATTTGAAATGGGAGGGCCGGATAGGGATGTGAAGATATGCCTCGGAAAGGTCTATGGAGGATAGCCAATCCCCCTGCCGGATGCTGAGTAGGATGGACTGTAGAGTGTGCATCTTGAACCTGCGATAAACCAAATAACGGTTAAGGCGTTTCAGGTCCAGAATGGCCCTCCATCCACCAGAGGATTTAGGGACCACGAAGAGGTGGGAATAGAACACCTGTCCTCGCTGGGATGGTGGGACGGGTTGAATGGCCTGTATGGTGAGGAGATGACGGATTGCTGAATCCATTAGGTTGCGTTTGGAGGGGTCCCTTGAGGGGGGGGGATGCCATGAAGAAGTCAGGAGGGGCGCGCTGGAACTCAAGCGTAAGACCAAGTCTGACGGTATCACGGACCCAGGCATCAGAAGTGGAGGAGTCCCATCGGTCGGCGAAATGCCTGAGGCGGCCGCCGATGGGAAGGGAGGGACGGGATCTATCTACGCCGGAAGGGCTTCCCTCCTGAACCCCTGAAGGGGCGCCTGTAGCCGGTGCCCCTCCTGTTCCTGTCACCCGGATCGGTTCGGTCCTGGGGCTGGAATGGCCGGAAGGAGGGGGGCCTAGGGTACCTGGGCGGGAAGGGAGACTGGTAGAAGGGACGGGAGGAACCTCTCCGAAATGGCTGAGGGGCTCTAGAATCTGACCTCCGAAAAAGAGGAGGGAGAAATTTTTTCTTGCTTCGGGTTTCAGAAAGCAAGGGGTCCAGAGCAGTACCAAATAGTTTGTCCCCCTTTATGGGGGCCGTGGCCAGCTTAACCTTGTTTTTTTATGTCCGCCTGCCAGTGCTTGAGCCAGAGCAGGCGGCGAGCTGTGACGTGGGATGTTATTGCTCGTGCGGAAAACTTAACCGCATGGTAGGTGGCGTCGGCGGAGAATTCTGCCGCGGCCATCAATTTTGCTATGTCTTGGTGAGCCCTAGTGTTGGAGGGGGAGACGTGGTGCTTCAGTTGACGAAGCCACCGGATAGAAGATCTGGTGAAGAAGGAGGCGGCAGTGGCCGATCTAATGGCCCAGGTGTCCGCTTGATGAGCCCTACGGAGGGCGAGCTCAGACCTCTTGTCCTCGGGTTTTAGGGCCTCTAGAGGGTCACTGGGGGATGACGAAGAGGCCAGGCCAACGATGGGGTCATCTACCTCGGGGGTGTTAAGTAAGTCGCAGAAGCTTGACTCGAGGTTGAAGAACCTCTTGTCCAGGCTGGATGGGGCGGGGGGGGGGGGCCCCCTGTGGAATCCAGCGGGTGAGAGCCCAGGGCGTGAAATAAGGGTGGGGCCGGGATTACCTCCGCCTCCACCATGGGCTGTCTAAAAATGGCATCCTCCTGGCCTTCTGCCGGGGAGGAGAGAGTCAAGGAGGGCTGCACGGACAGGCCAGAAATATTCCTAGCTTTGAATAACAGCGACTTGAACATGTGTGGTTTGAACAGTCCCGTAACTGTGGGTTGGTCCGGGGTAAGGCCCTCGTCCTCGGACATGTCCCCCTCCATAGGGTCTACCTCCGATAGGAGCTCCTCTTCGTGCATAGACCCCCATTCCAATTCCTCCTCCACCCCAAACTGATCTTCCATGGCCTCCTCCAGATCTCTTTCTGGAAGAGGGCTGCCCCCTTGTAAAGGTACCTGACCATGAAAGGGATCCGATCTGGGCGAGGACCTGACAGATGGCGGATCGTGTTCGGGCACCAATGAGGGGGGACCGGACCTGGACCTCTGCTATCCCCTGGCGAATGGCCCGTTCCATCCATGCCTGCACGTGTGCAGGAATCTCTGATGTGACAGCCTCCTCCAGGCGCAGGCCAGCGGCCGTGGGCGTGAATGTAGCTTCAGGAGTCCGTCTGGTCGATGGACCGGGAACCTGTTGTCCCTGGGATGGGCTGTGCCTGGAGAGGGAAGAACAAACTGGGGGAGGGGGGGTGTCTGGAGGTAGAAGGAGCTGAGGGCAGGAGGGTTGGAATAACTGGTTGTGCCTCTCTAGATCGCCTGTCAAATTCCTTCTCTAGAGCCCTATGACGTCGTAGGGCGTCTCTCTGAGAAGCCTGGGAGGTCTCCTTAGGGGCTTCCTTAGCCTGTTTGCGCAGGTGATAGGATTTAGATTTGGCCTTCAAAGAAGGGCGCTTGTTGGAGTTGTCGTCTGCCATTATAGAGAAAGGACTGCAATACAATTTTAAGGGCGGTTGGCTCGCCAAGGGTTCGACCTACAACAAAGGCCGGGTGTCCTTTCAGCTGGTCCACACCCCCCTTTTGGAATTTAGATGTATAAATTCTATAATATAGCAGTTGGTATAATTATTAAGGTTCTATGCACCCCCAGGCTTGGAATCCAATGGGTGCAGGGATGTTAAGAGTCAATATCGATAAGATGAAGAATGCTATGTAGGAATTCACAATAAGTCTATATATGTGTGTATATATATATATATGAATCTAGACCTGCAAAGATGCAGTTATACAGTTGTGAATCAATAGTAATATTATTACTATTACTATTATTACTATTATTATTACTATTATTATTACTATTATTATTACTATTATTATTATTAATATTAATATTATTAAAATAATATTATAATTATTATTGTTATATGATTCTTCTGCTAACTAACACCAATGTTTCGAATTAGAACGCCTGAGGCTGTAATGAGGCCTCTGGCAGCTGGAGCTCCCAGGCAACAACCGGGAGGGATAGGCTGCTAAATTCTGCCCTGAGCTTGCTGCGGAAGGCCAACAATATTGCCCAAATTCACAGATTGATCAACCGGTCCTCTGCTGAGGGCCTGTATGTAAAAGCAGTCACTTCGCAGCACAACGAGGCCTCAAAAATGGCGCCCGACACGTGGCGCTGCCCAAAATGGCGGCCGCCCACGCTCCTATAAATGCGGGCTGCTCAGGGCTGAGTAGGGACCTGTCTGGCACCTAGAATGCCGAGAGAAGGTAGTTAAAGCTGTTCCCCTACTTGCTGTAAGCGGCGTTAGCGGTGGGGGGGGAATGCCAGCAGCGCTATCTGCCGCGTTTAAACAAGCCGCTGCGATCGCGGCGAGAAGAACGGCAGGGAAAAGTCCGAATTGGGGGGGGGATTGGCGCCGAAGCGCGAAAGCTGCCCGTTCTACAACCCCCCAGGGGGCGAAGAAAACGTGCTCCCCTTTTATCCCCTATACGAAGCAGGCTAAGGAAGAAGGATTGTCCCTTTTAAATCAATAAATCAAACCTGAAAAGTTAATAGCTTGAATCGGCCAGAGAGAGTAAATTACACAGCCTAATCTCACGTAGGCTGAGCGCAAACTGGGGAACGCAAGGGAGCCACGTGACGGAGGGCGGAGCGTTCCTCAGTAATTAAGCTCAGCCTACAACGACGCAGACTGGAGCACCTCCCACACACTGGATGATCCGAACGGCTCTCAGGAGAATTGTTGAGGTGCTTGGAGGTTTATCCGTGCCCTCAGGGTTACCTGAACAGTGCAAATGGGTGTGGAATTCCTGAACCTAATCTGTAGACTCTCATCATGGAAAATTCCCTTTTTAGATCTCCTCAGTTTGCATATAGACTTTTTTTGCATTAAAAAATGGGACAGATCTAGTATACAGATCACGACCAGCATATCTCTCTCATTGGAAGTGAGCACATTTCATCTCACATTACCAGGTGCAATGCTCACACACACATCTTGCTATTAGTTCCATTCTAACGAATTTCCAGAGAAATTATCTTCTTTCTCAAAGCTATTTTACACCACTTCCAAAATCAATTCCTACACAAATTCTGAGACTCAGACCCAAACAAAGTAAACTTCAGGAGCTATCTTGGTTAGGCACTGGTTTTGTTATACCACAACAAAATAACGGCCACAATATTCTTAATGGTCTTTGAAATGTTTTCTGTAAGTATTTCAGATATCGGCATTTTTACTCACATCACATTCAGGACTGAATCATTCCGAATAACCTTATGAACAGCATCAACCAACAAAAACAGCCCACCATCTGTCCTTCGGATACTGGTTGCATAGCCAGGCCATATTTGCAACCTTTTCACAAAAATAAACAAAGAGGCTAATTTTTAGTATCAAAGGGAAACTGCTTAATTAAAAGATACAGTCAAATTGATTTTGTAGTCATAGTTAGTAATTGCTACTGTCTGCTTTCACCATTTACAATTCCCACAAGTTATCATGTGCAACTGATGGAATATTAAAATATACTATCATAGGACAAACACACTGATGAGATAATCAAATTTATTATGTGATGAAATTGCAGTCTAATTTATTGCTATATATTATTTATCATTAATATCCCTAGACCACCCAGAGCTCACTAGGATTGAGGCACAAATAAATGAATAAAGTAATCCACCAAAAATATGTCACTGTATTCCAGAGATTCAAGGCAGCTGGTTTTGGTATATATTGCAATTAGCTAAAGTAACTCAATTTGCACCTACTGAGTTTTTGCCAGAAAATGTGCAAAAATAGAAGATATATTTTAAAAGAATATTAATTCTATTGCACAGCATATATTTCAAATAATCAAATACTAAAACACAACATACCAACCTGTACTGCTGAAGTACAGTAGCATTAGTAGGATCATAGAAATTTCTCCCAACAAGTTTCATATCTAAAATCCTCATTACTCTAGAATAACATTAAAAAAAAAACATGATTAATATGACACTGGGAAATGAGATTGCTATGTAAAGCATGAACTCAGGGCACAAAAAAATTCCTATTATTTTGCTCGTCCCGTTACCAAAGGAGGCCAGAAGAACCTAGGTCATCTCCCACAAGATTTCAAACATCTCCAGATCAGACCTAGAGTTGCATATCTTTCTCCAATTCTTAAACGATGGACTTCCTGCCACTTGGTTTTGGTCCTCGATGTGAAGGATACCCACACTGTATTTCTAGCAAATAACCATCTCTGGTGTCTCTTTGCTTTTCTTTCTTCATTTCAGGATTTTGAGATGAATTCCTAAGCACAACCCACAATCCAAGTGCATTCCAGCATTCAACAGTGCAGCAGATGCAAAACTGCCTTGTTCTACTTTTCATCTCAAGAGTGCATCTAAATGCAGGCTCCAATTCTTTTAAATAATAACTCCCATTTTTTTTCCCTCTAGCCTGATGAGCAAGAGCCAAGAATTAAAAGTGTTCCCTATCCTGGGCTCTGGTTAAACTAGAGATTGATCCAAAGGCCAATGGTTTTTTCTTCCTCCCTTAAAACTACATCACTGTATATAATCCTATAGTGTACTTGCTATGTTGCCAGAGATGTTACCCCAAACTGAATCCGATCCTAAATGCAAGTTGATCAGATCAGGTTGCAGGAAAGCAGCCCTCGACTTACAGACAGTTCATTTAGTGAACATTTAAAGTTAAAACAGCACTGAAAAGAGTGAGTTATGACCATAAACTGTTGCAGCATCCCCAGGGTCGTGATCAAAATTCAGGCCCTTGGCAACTGACTCATATTTAAGACGGCTGCAGTTTCCCAGGGTCAGGTAAATCACCTTTCGACAAAGTCAATGGGGAAGCCCAATTCATTTAACAACCATGTCCGTAACTTAACAACTGCAGTGATTCATGGTGGCAAGAAAGGTTGTAAAATAGGGTAAAATTCACTTAACAAATGTCTCACTTAGCAACAGAAATGTTGGTCTCAATTGTGGTTGTAAGTCAAGGACTACCTGTATTGCTGATAAGAGAACACTGGTGTACCTTCTTTCATGAACGAAGTATGCAGATTAATTGAGATTTATTTCAAGCACCAAGGAAAAGAACCAATCAAAATAATTTATAATCACTTCTTTTATCTGTACTGAAATGCTATGCATGCCAATTGGTCACTACAACATATATCTATTTAAAAATAAACAGAGCTTTGCAACCCTTTATATTTCATGTAATAATCACGTACTTGTTTAAAAATCCAAATCCCATCCTTTTTCTGTACAGTACGTTTATTTGTATAAAACTCCAGTTGTAAAATTAGTCCACTATCTTAAATTGGACACATATTATGTAAGGTGCACCCTTCCCATCTGAGTAGACAGATTCATGACTTAAAAATTGTAATACTATATATTAAAATGATCTGGCTTTAAAATAAACATGAGTATTATATTTGAACTATTAATTGTGCAAAGCCTTTTTTAGGTTTGGTCTATCGAGCCTTTGTTCTGACATGTGAAATAAAAATGCTCATATTCATTCAATCACACAGATTAGAAATGTTAAGAGATACTAGCATGTTATCCATAGTGGTTAATATTCAGTCAATTTTGATAAAATTCTGTTAAAAGAAAACAGATCTAAGCATTTTAACATTGATGTTTTGTATATAATGTTCATTTAAGAATGGCTGTACTTATGGGATGCTTTAAGTCCAGATGTGAGTCAGCATATATTACGCACTTTCTGAAAATAACATTGTAAAATGGGATGCACAACTCTGAACTAGGTTCCAGAATTTTGGTCATCTGAATCTTTAAATTGACTTCTGTTCCATCTGTCTTTCTTTCACACTTCAGGTTAATATTCTAAAGTAGAAAAAACATAGCTTATCAGAACTCAAAAACAGGTCAGTAAGACAGCCTAAGAATTCCAAAAAAAAATTGTTTACAAAATAAATTACAAAACAATCAGTTCCAATTCTTGCCAATAAGTAAATATTGCAGTAAAAATATGCTACGTATAACTTAGCCATCTCAAGCTAACAAGAGTAACATTTCAGAGTGCTTTGTTTCAGAATTAGTCTATCAACACAGAATAAAGACAAAATAAAACGTAAATGAAAAGTGAAACAAACCATTGTTTATAACTATGTCTTCTTATTTTGTTGCTGCTGAAATTGCATATTGTACTAATATACATTACTTATTCTTTTGCTGTATTGCCAATTCTTATCTTTTCTGTTAAGAAAACCCCTTGAAACATGAAGGCTGGACAACTTTCCCCCCCCATTGTTGTGTAGAGATGCTTTGAAGAAAACCCTTGAAAGCAAGCTCAGGCTTAATATAATATTAACAGATTAATAGATTTGGAAGAGACCTTGGAGGTCTTCTAGTCCAACCCCCTCCTCAAGGAGACCTAAATCCATTTCAGACAAAATGGCTGTCCAATCTCTTCTTAAAAACCAACAGTGTTGGAGCATCCACAACTTCTGGAGGCAAGTTGTTCCACTAATAAATTGTTCTCACTGTCAGGAAGTTTCTGCTTAGTTTTAGGTTGGTTCTCTCCTTGATTTGTTTCCATCCGTTGCTTCTTGTTTTGCATTCAGTTGCTTTGGAGAATAGCTTGATCCCCTCTTCCTTTGTGGCAGCCCCTGAGATATTGAACCACTGCTATCATGTCACCCCTAGTCCTTCTTTTCATGTTCTCTTTTAAGAAAATGTTAGCAAACAAATCAATCCATTTTAAATCTTCAATATTTTCAAGGTTACATTGATGAAAAGGTTAAATTGGGATCAGGGTAACATTTGTTCCAAGTCCCGCTTAAAATACAACAAACTGGATGACTCTGAACTAGTCTCTCTCAATTCAGCCTATCTTCATGGGAGTTCCAAAGGTGCTTTTTCAAGATGCAACGGGAGCTTTCTGGGGTTTTTTGAAGACGTTTCACTTCTCTGAAGAAGCTTCCTGGATACGAAGCAAAATGTCTTCAAACAAAAAAACAGAAAGTCCAGTTCCCTCTTGAAAAAGCACCTTTGGAACATTCATGACCTGGATGAGAATCTCCACAGAGATTCCTATTTCCTATATGATTCTCATGGGATAATTTGTGAAGGATGACATAGGAGGGGAATATCATCCGAGGCACCATAGGACAGATACATCATAACATAACTGTGACCAACAAAATATCTGGAGCACAAAGCTCTCCACTAATATAATGGCCATAGCCACAGCTAAACTGTGGAGTCCTTTGAGGAATTCAGCTATACTGTCATTTATTGCTATTGGAGAAATCACAAAATAATCTGGAAAAAGGAGAAGGGAACTGACTCCTTTGGTTCATTTTACAAGGAGCATTTCAATATTATCAGGTATACTTCAGTTGCAGTATAATTCAGAAGAATAAATTAATATGACACAATTCAATTCCAAACTCACAGAAGACTAGGAAAACATTTGGATGTTAAAAACACAATCACTGTTTCAATTCATATTTTTAAAAAGTATTTATGATCATTTTTCCCCAAATGCCATCACTCTGCTAAACAAATAATTCCCTCAACACTGTCCAACTATTTACAAAGTCTGCACTACTATTACTATTAATCTTCTCATCACTCCTTATCACCCATCCCCTCCCATTTGGGACTGTATGACTGTAACTTTATCACTTGTATCCTTACGTTTTATATCTGTTTCCTAGCATGATTTGATTGCTTATTGTACCCTATGACTATTAAGTGTTCTACCTTATGATTCTTGATGAATGTATTTTTTTCTTTTTATGTACCCTGAGAGCATTTGCACCAAGACAAATTCCTTATGTGCCCAATCACATTTGGCCAATAAAGAATTCTATTCTATTCTACTCTATTCTGTTCTGTTCTATCATGAAGTAAAACTCAGTATCAGCTTGGTTATTCCTACATGACAGAAAAATTTCAGGTGGTGCTCCATCCAAATAGTCCGGGGGTTGCTCAACTAACAAAATAAGGATTTGGAATTAAACGCCCATGTCAGATAAAATTATTGTAGCAAACTCTTCCGTTTCTTTCCTCGATCTTACTTGAGGCAACTTGATGGGTAAATAGAGAAGAAAGCCATCAAATGCGGAAATGTCTCCTATCACCGACTGATGTTCCTTCAGCATCCTAAGGCGCATGCTTTTATATTCTATGTTTGGGCTGGAAGACAAGAGGAAAATCAAGAAAAAAAAGCGGTGGTACATTTTTATTGGGGGGGGGGAGGGGGGGGGAGAAAGAATGTGCATTTCTGTTCATTTTGCTTGAGAGAGAAATACCCACAAAGGAAAACTGTCACAATTCCTTCCTTAACGTTGTCATTAGAAAGGCAACTTCTACATTCTGGTTGGCTGTACTATTTCACTGAAAGACAGCATCAAGGAAGAGCTTTAATCATTTTCTTTTTCAATCTTGGCTTCAAAGAAGATGCATAGCCTTTAGGCTGCATTTCTACAAGAAAATGTTCAGATTCCCTACAGCTTTACATTATCAAGTGAAATATATCAATGGACAGACAATTTGGAGGTCCCTCCAAAAAACTTTAACACGGTAGCATCCATAGTCAAACTAGTTACCGTATTTTTCAGACTACAAGATGCACCGCACCGCACCAGAGGCACACCTAGGTTTAGACAAGGAAAACAAGAAAAAAAATAGTTTTCGGCCTCCGCACGTCCCATTTTTGCCCCCACCTCTCCGGCGTCCAGAACCCCCCACCCCCCCCCCCCATGAGTCCCATTTTTGCTCTCCCTGGCATCCAGAACTCTGCAAGCCAAAAATTTGCCCGTTTTTGGCCTCCCAAACTTTTCGTGTCCTGTTTTCAGCCCCCCAACCCCGTGGAGGCCTCCACGGTGTGTGTGTGTGTGTGTGTGTGTGTGTGTGTGTGTGTGTGTGTGTGTGGCATTTTATAGTCCGAAAAATATGGTAGCTAAAACTGCTGCCCTTGAACGCAATAAATATTTGGGTTGAAACTAACCATCTGGACAGGTGCTTTCTTAGCTCATAAAGCCGGCAACTGGTACTTTCAAAAGCACCTCGGAGTTTAGAAAGTATGAAAGGTTTTCCACATAGCTTCAAAGGCTAGAAACCATGATTTATATTCCTTTAAATTTTAGCATATAAAATGTGGGAAGAAACATCAGTTGGATTGCAACTTAAGAGAACAATTTGAATAAAAGATGTTGGATCTTCTGCCCACATTCAGTTACTGAAGCCATGACAGACCCTAAAGCAACTGCCTTCACCTGTGGAAGGAAGAGTCAGATTCAAGAACCGTTACCTGAATGTCACGTGGTACTGATACACAGCTTCATTTTTACAGTGTATTTGAATCAGATTCAGTGCCAAAGGGATCGTTTCTCCTTTTGACCCTTGCTTCTTAAGTGGTTCTCTGGAAGGATGAAAGTGTAATTGTAATAATTTCTCTGCTTTGTTTAAGAGAAAGACAGTAAGGAAGCTGAACCTCGTGTATCTGGTTCAATAGTGCTTACTCTCCCATGTTCGAAGAATTAGAAGAGCAATAACTGGGAACCATTTTCGGATGGAAGGTTTTGCTAAAATTTGTTATTAACAATTTATATCTTTACATAAACCAATACAATTCAGTGTATACAATAAAAACATGATGCATCTGTCAAGAACACCTATTCTTAGATATATTTTATCACCTCCATCCCTTTGTCCAAAACAGAAGTATTGTTCTAGAAGCAATTTGTATATGCTTGGCTTCTTGGACATACTTCTACCCATAGCCCTACTCCAAGCCCAATTTCTTACTTTTTTTCTGAGCAAGCTGGGGAAAAAAAATCATAGCTTATCTCCTCTAAAGACCTGCACAAATCAGAAGCTCATCAGAGGTTGCTACATTCAGAAAACTCAAAGAAAAAAACAAACCATTTCCTTTGCTTAAGCTATTGATTTTCTGTTTGTATCTCCTCCAAACTGAGCGCATGTATAGCCAAAGGCTTTTAGGTTATGGCTATCTGAGATAAAGTGTTTTTCCGGTGAGACCGGTCTATCAGGGCAACCTGGTGTATCCATTTATGGGATGGAGCATACTGCTTCCGCTTTCGTCTTTCAGCCCCAATCGAGGAGCCTTCGCAGGCAGTCACTTTCGTGACAAACTATTTTTGTGTTGAATTTATGTTTATGAACAAAGAAATAAAGAAAGACTATTACAGAATTATTTCAAGCTATTTAGCTCTCATCAGCTAGCCATACCCTTCTGGGATTCAAACTTGGGCTACTTGCATATTAGGTAGACATATTAACCTCTAAACCAAAGGCTCTCCTCGATTTGCTGACTATATGAGGGAAGAGATTATGATATAGGCGACAAAGCGAGGAGAGCCCATGGCTTAGAGGTTTAAGCCTCTAAGGTTAAGCCTTCATGTGCTCCCGAGTCGACCTTTGTTGCTTACCTCTTCCCTTCTCCTGACAGCTCTATGCATGCACACATAGGGAACAGGCTCCAGCTGTTCTTCTGCCCCACTGACTCTGAATGCAGCTGATAACTGTCAGATGGCCCTGGCCCCATCTCTGCCTCCGATGCAAAGCCCTCATATCAGAGCCTTCCCCAGACTCCAGGACTGGCCCATGTTTCTTCCCAATCTCCTCACTGTCCGAGTCTGTCGCCATTTCCGCTCAGCATTTACTACACTTACAGGAGTTTGGCTTTGTTACCTTCTTCATACCATTTCTCACTTACTTTTTATCCACAGGGTCATCAGAAACTACAGGAGGAGCACTAGGCTTGATTGATGGTGCTGGAAGAAGACCTTCCACGGCCGAAGTGAAGGGGCTTGGGTAGGGTCGGCCACGCCCCAAGATGCTGGTTTTGTCAAGCACCAAAAATGGCTTTTCGCTTTCCACATACCTGGGGAATATTTAAAAGGGGAACAAAAAAGATGTCTAAAACCCCACGAAGCTAAAATTTCTGCATTGTTTTTATGGGGGGATGATGGCCCTTTTATGACTCATGGATTTTAATTCCCTGAATTCCTGAACCAGCTTTAAAGCAACATTTTGATTTGTATCCCAGTTTTACTTACGCATTTCAAGGTGGCATGCATAAGTACCTTTTCCTCCTCCCCACAGTCACCACCTTATGGCATGTGGATTGGACTGAGAGGGACTGGCCGGAGGTCAATTAGCTGCCTTTTGTGTCTAACCGAGGACTTCCAGTTACCAGCCCAATTCCTTAAAACAGGGGTCCCCAACCACCGGTCCGCGGACCGGTACCGGTCCGTGGAACAAGTCCTAC